CATGAATATGATATGATATTTGGATGAAAAGTTGCATTGACAAGTTTTGAGGGGTGGACGACGCAATCTAACGAACCAAGACACATGAAAGAAACACACGCTCTTGTCCCCCCAACCAGGATTAAGCACGTAACGACAAAAAGAGAAGCAAAGAGAAAGATTAAGACACGGAAGCAATCACAGCTGCGGCAACGCCCTCCTCTTCTGCCCGGACGGTGATCTTGGTAGTGACACCGGCCTTGCTGGAGTAGGCCATCTTGATGAGAGAAGCCACACGGCCGCCGGAGACGGTCTTGCCGAACAGCTTGAGCGTGTGTGTGCTGCTGTTGAGGGCGACGTCGGTGCCCTCGAGGGGCTGCAGTGATAGCGCTGAGATCAGTTGTTCCGTGGCATCTGTTGGGAGAGTGAGTATGAGGAAGTTAAGAAAGGTAGATAGGACTTGTACATACCGTTGATACCCTTCATGTTGCTGAGCTGCAGAGTTTCGCTTTCCTCCTCGCCGTTGGCACCGGTCTGTTCCCAGACGTGATCGAAGCTGCCGGCGAATGTCGGGATGACATAGTCGCTGCCTGTCAGCTCGAGGTCCTCTACCTGGTACTCGTCGTCGTAGCCACTGTCCTCTGGCTCGCCGCTTGCAGGGTCGATTTCTTTGCTAGTGAACTTGAGGATGTTTGTGAAGGAGGTGACGGGGACGCTGTTCTCGCCGGTGAGCTTCTTGAAAGCAACGTAGACAACACCAGGCTGGTCTGTGGGCAGCTTGGGGGCGGGAATGATAAAGTCGTCCTCCAATACGTCCTCTTCCTCTGGCGTGGCAACCACAGTGACATTCTCGAGAATGGTATCCGGAAGTGTGTTCTTAATATCATATTGCACCACGATGTGTTCCTTGAAAATGTGCTTGACGGCCGTAACAACATATTCGGTTTCGCTCTCAGAAAGCTCGACTGGTGCAGAGGACTTGAGCAAAATACCGTACGCCTTGATATCGGGGTACTGCAGAAGTTGCTCTGCGTATTTCTGGGTGGCAGAGGCGCTGGCCGCTTCGGCCATACCGCCGGCCGCCTTGCCCTTCGGGGGACCGGCCGAAGGGGCCTTGATAGTGGGAGTGGCCGAGGTAAGCTTCTTGGTTCTCTCTTCAGCCAGGGCCTGCTCGTGTGAGACAACCGGAATGGTAGCAACATCGAAGGCAGCAGCGAACGTCTCCTTGTCACCAGACGTCACGTACATGACGAGCTGGTGTTCAAACGTGGAAAGGGAATACATTGAGTCTAGAACCATTAGTAAATTTACTATTGCCAGTTATGGGCAAAATCTTACCGTTCTTAATGAAAGCGCTCGCCGACTCGTCCTCTTCGGCCATCAGACGCAGGTTAAGGGCAGCACGGTCTCGTACCTCGTCGTCGGTGTCATCAAGACAACGGGTGAGGAGAACATGAACACTAGACTTGACTTCGGGGTCCTTCTGGCCAACACCAAACTTGGCCAATGCGGTAACAGCAGCGGCACGTACGATGGCGTTCTCCAATACGACGCGGTTGTAGATGTAGCGGATATACTTGGTGGGGTGGGTAGTCTTAGGGCCCTCAGAACCAAGCAGGTGCAGGATTCTAACCGAGAGCTTGGTGAACTCGCAGTCCTCAATGAACTCGCAGAGGTGGGCAAGCGCATCTTCCTTGCTTTCCGGCACAAACTTGATCAAATCGAACATGCTCTCAACGACGGTGCGCTTGAACTCGTATCCACCCTCGTCTCGCAGGATACCACTCAGGAAAACAAGCATACCGGCCTGCTTGCTGGGGAACTTCAAACACAAAGTGCGAATGGCCTCGACAATAGTGACCTTGAACTCGTCGGTGATATCAGCCATAAAGCCCGAGATTTGCTTCATCAGACGATCGACGCTAGCTTCGTTGCCGGTCTTGAGCAGTGTCGTAATGGCGAACGTGGCAATAGAGCGGTTCGAGTTAGAGATGAGGGACTCGATATCGGGATTGCAGACATTGACGACATGTGGCTTGAAAGAGGCGAAGTTGTGTAGGATACGGATGGCAGCGAACTTGGTGATCGACCGGGGGGAGGACAGGAAGAGCTGGAGAACGTGAACTGCCTGCGTTGCCTCGGCATCGGTGACATCGCGCATATCGCAGATCGCCTTGGCCGCCTCAAAGTTGACCATCTCATGCTTGTGGCGGAGCCAGCCATCCAACATCTGCATCATGGGTTTCCGGAGACCTTGGTCCTCCTCAGCCAATTTGGCCGCCAGACGTACCAACAAAACCAGAGCAGCCGGGCTCTTCACCACACCTGCAGCACCGTACTGCTGTACCATCTTGACCAAAGACATACGATCGTGCGAGCGCATCTGGTACAAGAGACCGATGGCATGGTACTGTGTCATGAAATTCGAGTTGGAGATGGCGTGGCTCTGCGAGCTCGAGGAGAAACCAAGGAACCCAGTTGATGATTTCGATGACGAGGCCGCTTCCTGTGTTTCGCTCTGCCATCTCCGGACGACGTCGCGCGCAATGGGAAGGAGGTGGTAGGAAGAGACCAAGGCCGCGGAGGACACCGAGGGGGTCTTGTCGACAATGGCGGTCTTGATAAGTCGCTCGATACCCTGTACTGTGGAACCCTTTTGCAATTGTCAGCACGTCCTCTCAATCATTGAAGTCCTCGCGGCCGAAGACGTACATCGATAATGCGGCAGAGCGCTCTGATGGCATTGGCCCGGTACAAAACATCGCTTCCCACTGCGGTGTCCTTCATAATGATACTTGTCGACATGATCACATCTTCCGCAGTCCCAGCCAGCTCCTTCAAGATCAGATACACCATCTGCCGCAATGACGGGTCTTTGTTCTGGAAGAGCTTGGAGATTCCGAAGAAGAGGGTGGTGGCTTCATTCGTAGGGAACTGCTCCCCGGTGAACATGAGGACAGCGATCTTGGTGAGTAACGTTCGGCATGTTCGCGGCGAGATAGGAGAGGAATTGAATAGACGTGCTAGGAGAATTATCTCGTCAGCATTGAATATGTGCAGCGCATGAAAGCCCAGGGGGTATTGTTGATTTGCACACCATCTTGGAAAACGGAGGTCCGATCAAGCTTGATCATGACCTGGTCCTCATCCTCGTTTTTCTTCATGTAACTCATCTTGCCCAGCAGCTGGGATTGCACCAGCAATGAGTGGTTGCTGTCGTATTAGAAAGGTGGAGTTGGAGCAATTGGGACACGGGTCGAGTACACAGAAGCAGGGTAGGGCGGTGTAGCGACTACAGCATTTGCATAACCACGCAAGAATTGAAGGCTCAAAAAGGGTAAATTGGAGGGGGAAAGAGAGAATATGATTGAGGTAAACGAGGTGGCAATGAATCTCGAACCCTCAAAGCTCAGAACTGCCAGCTATTGACAAGTTGAAGGTGGCCTTCCGTGTGTTTGGCCCGAATCAAACACTGCAAACATGTGGCATCACGATCGAAGGCAGCGCATTTATCCCTCCAACTCCCCTCATTTTCTCCCATATTTCGCTTGAATTAAAATTGATCTATATATCCTTGATCATTTTAATCCACCATGCAGGTTGAAGTCGACCCCAAGGAGGATACCGAGTGGTAAGCCTATTACTAGCACATACCCCCCCGCCAGCAAGGTATAAGCAGCGCGCTAACCATATTGTATAGGAACGATATCCTCCGCCAACACGGCATTATTCCCGAAAAGCCCAAGGACCCCGAACCTCTAATTCAAGAGGCTCTGATCGCCGCACAGCAGAGGGCGCACGAGAACCGACTTGAAGACAAGGACCTTGACGAGCTGGACGCATTGGAGGACGATGAAGATGAAGAGTTTCTCGAGAGCTATAGGTAAGCCTGTTATCTAACCGTTTACATACCTAAAAGCGTCTCATTTTGCTCACGGTATCAATCGAACAGGCAAAAACGACTCGCCGAACTCTCCACCCTGCAACAAACCAGCCTCTTCAACCAGGTCTTCCCACTTCAGAAAGTTGATTATGCCCGTGAGGTGACAGAGGCGTCGAACAGTGCTTATGTACTAGTCAATCTCACGTCGATGGGCGGAAATGTTGAATCGCGCGTGTTGACGGAGCTCTGGCGGCAAGCTGCCGCCAAATTCGGCGACATCAAGTTCTGTGAGATTCGTGCCGACATGTGTATTGAGGGGTATCCCGAGAAGAACACGCCCACGATCTTGGCATACAAGGATACCGAGATCAAGAAGCAGCTTATTACGCTCCAACAGTTGAAGGGTCCCCGGACCAAGCTTGAAGGTAAGTTCCATCCGAAGCAGGAGTAAGATAAGGGGATATACTAATAATATATAGATCTTGAGCGTCTGCTCGTGGAAATTGGTGCTTTGAAGGAGAGCGATGTTCGTCTAAAGAGGCGTGATGACGAGGACGACTACAAGAAAGACGATGACCTGAACATCGAAGATTATGATGATGACTGGGACTGATTTCCTTGATTGAGAATTACTGCAAATATTATGATCTGGCTTGTGTGTATATTATGAAAATATCCAAAAGATGATGACCCCTTTTCCATGTCGGCAGAAGACAAGGGAATGATGCTGTAAGACATAAGGCGCTTGTCAGCCTCGATTCGAATTAAATTGCCTCCTATATCTACTGTATCTACACTTGTAGTTGGTGGAATTGGCTATGCATCTCCGTATGTAGAGAGTATATTGACATGGATAGCCAAGTCTGGGGACGCAATGCTCAAAGTATCAATAAATCCAACCCGTTTTGCACACTACTATGTAGGCATTCAATGCAACGTAAATAAAGAAGCCAAAATTCAAGTATAAATAGCTCAGACGCTCCTAAGCGTAACCAAATCACGTATATACCGAATGAACAACGAATCAGATGATATGATCGCTGTTCATCCTATTGATCCCATCAATCCCAACGCCAAAGAACATCAATCATAACCGTATCAGCGGCACCCAGAGAAAAAGGATACCACCGAGAAATCATCAGATCAACTCGTCACGACCAGCAGCGGCACTCTCCTCAATAGCCTGACGCACCTGGCCCTCTTTAAAAGCAGGGCCTTGACCATCACACTGCGACATACCCTTCAAACGCTCCGTAACATCACCGATATCAAGCTGGCCGCGCTCAAACAGCTCATGCTTCTGAATAAGGTCCCACGTAGCGCCCGCATCTAGCAGCTTCTCGCCGGTGATCGGGCACATGGTGAGACGGTGTTGCGGACTTCGAGGAGTGCCGGGGCCGTCGGGCATGAAGGTGGTATGAAAGTCTGTGGGAGAGAACTTCATTGGGCCCGTGACGGTTGTTGGCTCTGGGTTCTCGTTTGTGCTGATATGTCCGCGGTTGGCGTGTTGTGATGTCGCACGCAGGATTTCATTCTCGGTTGTGTACCTGGCCAGCTCGCGCTTGAGGCGCTCGTTGTCGGCTTGTAAAGTGTTGGATGCTTGTTCGAGGTTGTTTACTTTGTCTTCGAGGTCGCGGACGTGCTGCTCCTTGCGCTCCCGAAATGCTCGTTGACTGTGTAACGAGTAGGACCTGTTAGTGTTTTGTTGCTTTTTGGGATGGATGTCTCTCTGGCCGCGTAGGTTTGATATATTACATACGCTGCTCGGTTTTGTGCCTTGCGCTTGCTTTGCGCGGGCGCTGATTCCTTTTCCTCGCTCGTACTCCTCCCTAAGGTTGGATCGGCCAATTGATTCTCATCGCCGTCGAATGAGGTGGGGCGTGTATACTGATTGTTGGTAGCATCGCTGGAAGCAGACTGCTTGACCGATTCTGGCGGTGAATGCGGCGGCGGGACAAAGGAGGGGTCAACAGGGAATGAGGGGTCAAAGCCAGGGAGGTTCTGGTAATTATTCTAGTCTATTAGCGACATGTCTTGAATGAGGGGACAAGAACATACCAGAGCGGCGAATGTATCTGGTTGGGCATGGGGTTGGTCGGGGGTAGGCAGCCCGTAGAGCGAAAAGCTGGAGGGCTGTGATCGGGGATCATAGAAAGAGTAATCCATTACGGAATCTTAGGCAGTTCCCAAGTTCTTCAGGGCTTGTCGGAAAGTTAGGAGGTGATGGTGGGAAAACCTTTGGAGGAAAATCTATTATCTGCTCTAAGTTTCATGTACCGGGGGGGCGTTCCGTTGTACGATGTACAGAATTCAAACTGTTTAATGTTGTCATGACACTTATATACCATTCCAATTAAGGTATACAGCGCACTTGCAAGCTTTACATGTACATATGTATCCATCCTTTCGAATGCCCATCAATTGTAGGAGGGTTCGATACAAACTTTCGATGATCTCACCGTTTTTCTACTCTCTCGGGGCCGGGAAGTACGGATATTGGTTCGAACAGCGAAGTCCTAAGCCAGTTGAATACCACAATTCTAGTTGGGATGAGAATGAGCAAATTGAAAGTGCAGTGTAGAGAGAGAGCTAAGAGAAATAACCTGACACAAATCGACGCATACCACCCCGGAAGCGACCCTAACCAATGTCCGTCGCCAACCACACCAGCTTCCCGCAAAGCGGGATTGCACTAGAAACCTCCTGTAACAGTAATTTCTGCAATGTAGCTTGAGCAGAAACCCAGAAAGCTGCAATGCAATACTCCCGAAAATCGTCCCCGTCTCAAACCTCCCTTGACCAGATTGGAGGCCACACCTCGTCCCCATTGAGCGTCGATAGTTCACAAATTAATCATCGTCAGGCAAACACAAAAAAAGGAAAAGGAAGGGGAATATCAAGGGCAGAGAATAACATCATGAGTGAACGAAATGGGGTAAGCAATGATGGGTAGCGCATCCGAGGATGCATTCAAGGATCTCCAGTAGCGATTAAACAATCCGACGAAAAATTGCGGGCTGCCACCGTCATTTGCATCCCCTTACTCTTGCCCTCTGGTCATTCTGACCAAAGATGCCAGGTTGTAAAGAGAACCAGAGGGCGAAGAAGTAAGAATAAGCCACAATATCAGAAGCGTTTCGAAACGTGTAATCGGTTGTCCCGCAGAACGGGTACAAAAATCCGAAAAGACAGAAAATAGTCGACAAAGTTTCGCAGGCTCAGCGCAAGATTGTCCACCCAACGGGCAAAGGTTCCATGGGGGTGAAGGCGAGCAGGCGATAAACAAAGGCGGATCGAAACGGCTGAGATCGAAATCTGATCGAAAACGGGATAGGAGGGCTGTCGGGGAGTGCAAATGAATAGAGATCCAAGAAGGAAAAAACAAAGAAATATCCGAGAAGGCTGATTATGACATGGTCCGCTCTAAGGCGACATGAACGGGTCCCCGGTTTCTTAGCAGATAAGAATGTGAACAGACAGGAGGCACATGCTAAACAATAGCCTCACCGTCGTGTAAACACGATTAGTACCACCCGTGGGCCTCCGCTCCTTCGTCCCGCTTCGAACGGCCACCAGAAGGTCCATAACCCAAAGCAGCACCTTTCGAGGCAGAACGTAGCCTAACGCCGAAGACTATGCGATTAGTCAGATTCAGAACATAAGGGTCCTCCACGCCAGCGTCACGAAATGCAAATCACTCAACGTAGGACTTAAGAAAGAAGGGGTTCCCTACTCGGAACCAGGTTTCATGTACTCACATCCTGTCACTACCTCCCACGGCACGGTTGGTGTCCGGAGTGTCGAGGGTGCCACGTTCGACGACCTTACGACGCTGGCTGTTGATGGCGCCGGGCTTGGCGGCACCACTGGCTCCCATCTGGCCAGCAGCAGGCAGAGCCTGGCGGCGCTGCTGATCCTCAGCATCCTTATCCTTCTTCGAAGCGTCCACGATCATGGCGGCGTTCTTCTGATACTTGTAAACGGTCCAGTCGAAGACGTAGTCGTACTGGAAGGACTCTCGGACGAAGAGGTCGCGGAAAATCTTGCGCAAGTAGGAGTAATCGGGCTTGTCGTCGAACCGCAGCGAACGGGTGTAGTTCAGGTAAACGGCGAATTCATTGGGGAATCCACGGCACAGAACGTCGGTGGGGGTGGTCATCTTCTTCTCCATAATGCGGTCGTACTTCTGCTTTTTGGTAGCAGCCTTCAGACCCTGCCAGGGGAGAGAGCCACGGCAGAAGTAGAGCATGACATAACCCAGAGATTCCATGTCATCACGTCGAGACTGCTCGACACCGAGGTGGGTGTTGATACTGGCGTAACGGGCAGTTCCAGTGAGGTTCTTGTTCTCACGGTAAGGGATGTGGAAGTGGGTCTTGGGGTCACGGTATTTCTTTGCAAGACCGAAATCAATTACGTTGACCTGGTTGCCACGCTTGCCAATGCCCATTAGGAAGTTGTCGGGCTTAATATCACGGTGGATGAAGGATTTGGCGTGGATGTATTCGATGCGAGAAATGAGCTGATCGGCGAGAAGTAGGACGGTCTTTAGGGAGAACTTGCGGTTGCAGAAGTTGAACAGGTCCTCCAGACTGGGTCCCAGCAGATCGATGACCATAGCATTGTAATCACATTCAGTACCGAACCAACGAACGAAGGGAATACCGACACCACCGGCGAGCGACTTGTAGACACGGGCTTCATATTCCAGCTGGGGGTGCTTGGCCTTGACACTCTCGAGCTTGATGGCAATCTCCTCACCGGAGATGATGTTCGTTCCTGGAAGTTATGAGTTGTTGTACAGGGGTAAAGCCAGAGTTGTTATATCCCTACCGAGATAAATGTCACCGAAACTGCCACTGCCGATCTTACGGCCAATGCGGTACTTGTTACCGACTCGCAAATCCTGGAGGCTATGTCAGTAAAACGTGTGGTTCGGACGTCTTGTTGACAATCATAAGGTGACACTATAGAGCGCAGCACTCAAACCACTTGAGGTATAGCTCCGAGTAGAGAAGAAAGAAAAGAAAGAAATCGGGGGTGGCTAACACTGACCATGGTCGTCATCTTGAACCGATGGGGGCACAGCGCTTAGCTGTGAGAAAGAACTTGAGGCTAGAAGATCGAGAATATTAGTTTCGAATCTTGTTGACGAAGCAAGAACGGTATGCAAAGCTGAGATCGATGGAGTATAAAGGGGCGTAAAAGTGGAAGAGAGGAAGAGAGGCGAGAAAGAAACAGGAAATCAGTGAGAGGGGTTGACAACTAAGCCTTAGGCAACTTGGGAAGGCTGGGCCCAGGTCAACGAACACAGGAAACAGAAACAGAGACAGAGACACAACACACTTTCTCAAAGTGATGCAATGAATAAAGGAAATGTAACAGAAAATTGAAAAGTCAAAAGGTAAAAAGCAGAACGAATCGATCTAGGCATACCTGGAGATAACGAATCAAAGAGATGTTGCCGACCGTACTGAAATCAAGGAAAAAGAGATGAGCCGGGTATATCCGGAAGATCCGGGAGAGTCTCGAATAAGTAAATATTAAATATCAAGGGCAAAAGCCTTGACTCAAGGAAGATATGATGAGGAGAAGAAGGAGAGGGAGAGGGGGGCAAGAGGTTGAGTCGGTGAGAAGGGTATTTTTTCCTGCAGGGGACGGCAGTCACGCCCGACCTCGGGTCTGTCAGGCGTACTAGTATGGTAAGTTTGGTATTGGGCATCTATGGACTTTTATATTTTACCTACAAATTGATGTTAAATGATATATATGCAATATAATTTAGTCGGTATGAAAATAAATTGATTATATCTTCTAATGAAACTCCGTATAGGATCACTTCTCAATCTTGGTGGCAATGCAATCGCTCAGCTGACCGGTATGTGATCAATGAAGAGCTGCCACGGGCAGACATCAAGCCTATAGCCATGATCTCAATGAGTGACACCCAATCTTAGATGTATATGAGTATATGACTCTCATTTGAATCATATACAATCACATTGCCCCTCGCGAGACATGATATCCGCAGTGGTCTTACTTGTTATGTACATCCATGGATGATCCTGAATCAACGATACCAATACTACATAACTATGTACAGTATGCGCGATTTTCCTCAGTGGGAGAGTCGTCTCAGTCTGTTAGAGGCAAATGTGCAGTATCACGCTTGCAACCAGCTACTCTGATAAAAATCAAAATTTATTGCTATAGAATATGCAGTTCTACATCGTACGGTAAAATGGCATCGTTGCGGAGTAAGCCTATGTACTCTATCCACTCGGGCTGATGACAGGTCGTCATTCCCACCTGGGTGTCTCAAATTTATTGGAATTCAGGATATCCTTGTCATAATAGTTCTGATCAAGATAAGAGCCTCCACAGGGCAACTAGAGCGATTTTTTGACTATGGATGAACAAGGAATCCGCGTGGAATATGCTAGTGGTACAGCCAGAGTCCAATGAACATCAGAAAACCGGGGTATAAAAAGGGCAGCCGGGGGGTTAAAAACAAAATCGAAACGGGAAAAGAGGGAACAAATGAGCGCAATGGAGAAAAAGAATCAGAAAATAACACCGTCCATCGGCGTAGAGGAACCAAGATGATAGAAAACACACATCATACATAGAAAAGTGAGTGGAAAACACAACGAGGAAAAAAGGAACAAGTATTGCAAACAGGCGCAGAACGCTCAGACGGTGCAAATTGACATATCTTAGGGCACATGGTCATAGAACAACAATGGAGGGCAAGAGCTTTAGATCACGTTAGAGCGTTCGGGTTGTGCAGCTCCAGTGTTCAATGGCTTGGTTTGCACATCGAACCCAGCCCTGTCATCATCGTCCAGTTTCCTCCTCCATTCCGCCAAGCTGTCGCTCATCAGTGCGGGTCCGTCACTATTATCCTTGGTGGGAGTCCGCTCCAGATCCAGCTGGCTGCTCAGACGGTAATTGCGGTTGGTGCTCTCCCAGTGAGTTCGCAAAGCGTCCAACTCGTTGGCAAGTGAGTCCAGAGCCATAGAACCACGGTTATCAGGGAAAGTAGAGTCTTGCGAGACATTGCTATCAGCGCGCGCACGCCCATTGCCTCCGCTGATTGTGTTGCTAGAGGCGTTGCTGTGTGTGCGCGAGATCCCATTGGAAACTTGCCCATGGTGAGATTGACG